GGGTTGAATTGGCATTGGTTAATGCTAAGTGATATTCAGATAATTTAACATTTGTCTTAAGCAAAAGTTCCAAAGTTCAGGTAGTTCATCTCGTTCTTCCTTCTCTGTTAAGCAGTATATATGCTCTCACAACTCTGTTTTTAACCATCCCTTACCACCTCCTCCCCCTGTAACATTTATTTTGAGGTGTAAAACTATAATTCATCATAACCACACCACTTTGGAAAGGTGGGTCATCTCATTGTAATCCTAACTTTAAGAAGAAATTGATGTAAAAATATGACCAGGGTAGAATACTAATATGTTAACAGTGTTTATTGCTAGGAATTTTTTTCTTTTTTTTTTTTTTTTTTTTTACATTTAACTTTGAATTAATTTTAAACAGAAAATGCAAAATAGTTTAGAGTTCCTGTATATGCTTCATCCAACTGCTACTGATGTCACATAACAATATATAATTATCAAAAACCAAGAAATTAACATTGTTTCCATACTATTAATTAAACTACAGACTTTATTCAGATTTCCCCAGTGTGTCTGCTGATTTCTCCTCTGTAAAGTTGCTATTTTTCTCATTATAATTAATAAATATCTTGGGAGAGAGAATGTTGAAATTATGCAAATTCCCTGTTTTTCCTGAAACCTTTGCCCACTAATTTTAAAGAATCCATTGACGGCTGTTGCCTGCAACAGTTATTACTGTGTTGATTGCCTAATGGAGATTTTCTGTTCTGGAAGGATTTTATTTTTAATGCTACTAAGTTTTCTAGACATCATAAATTAGCATGTAATATCGTGGGGGGGGGGGCGGGTGGATTTTTTTTTAAAGGATTCAGCTTTGAAAATAATGAGTTCAGAGCTGTGTCTCCTTCTGAATAGGAGGCAACAATGAAGTAGATGAACTCATGAGGTTCTTTTAGTATTGCCCACTTGTGAGAAATACAAATCCTAAAGACACCTTCTAAGTTTTAAATTTAAATTTTATTTTTAGAGCTAACACATGAGTTTCTGCAAATATTGGAGAAAACGCCTAGCAGGTTGAAGAGGATTCGAAACTGGAGGGTAAGAGAATTGGTAGGGTTTAACAGAATACCAGTTTGTCACTGATCTAACAATTATATTGCTAACCAGTTTGAAATTTTGAGTTAAATATTCTTTCCTAGTGTTCCTAAATAATTGAAGTGTATCAAACTCATAAGTTTTATACACTTAGTTTATTCATCTTCATATTAACCCTGTCAGATGGACTTTGCTCTGTATTTCGTACATTTTCTTATTTAATTCTCACACAATTATGATGGAAGTATTATCTTCATTTTACAAATGAAACTAAGGCATAGAGAAGTTAAATTACTTTCTCAGATGCTGAAGTAAGATTTCACTTGAATCTAATTCCAAAACCAGTGCTTTCAACTTTTTATAGCTTTCTATTATGCCTTTAATAAGACACTTACTTACTGGCAACATAAAACCTTGAACCCCAGGTGTTTTTATTTCCCTATACTTAATATCAAGTTTTTATAAGCAAAGAAATTTATATTAAATTCCTTTGCTGTCATTGCTTCTTTTGTGTTTTATTCGAACAGGCTAATCAGGCAGCTAAGAAGCCGAAAGTAGATGGACAAGTATCAGAGACACCGCTTCTTGGCTCATCGTTGGTCCAGAATTCCATTTTAGTAGATAGTGTCACTGGTGTGCCTACAAACCCAAGCTTTCAGAAACCATCTACATCAGCATTCCCGGCACCAGTACCTCTAAATGCAGGAAATATTTCTGTTCAAGACAGCCATACATCTGACAGTTTGTCATTGCTAGCAGCAGGAATGCCAGGTACCTCATATAGTCTGTCATCACACCAAGGATGGCCTCAAGATCAAGAATCAGCAAGGACAGAACAGATATATTCACAGAAACAGGAGACATCTTTGTCTGGGAGCCAGTACAACATCAGCTTCCAGCAGGGACCTTCTGTATCATTGCATTCAGGATTACATCACAGATCTGAAAAAATTTCTGATCATTCTTCTGTTAAACAAGAATATACTCACAAAGCAGGGAGTAGTAAACACCATGGGCCAATTTCTGCTACTCCTGGAGTAATTCCTCAGAAAATGTCTTTAGATAAATATAGAGAAAAACGTAAGCTAGAAACTCTTGACCTGGATGTAAGAGATCACTATATGGCTGCCCAGGTAGAACAGCAACACAAACATATGCAGCCACAGGCAGTCAGCAGCAGTTCTGTAACTTCTCCCATTAAAATGAAAATTCCCATCACAAACCCTGAAAAACCTGAAAAATACGTGACCGATAAAAAGGAAAAGAGTGGCTCACTAAAATTACGGATCCCAATACCACCCACTGATAAAAACGCCAGTAAAGAAGAACTGAAGATGAAGATAAAAGTTTCATCCTCAGAAAGACACAGCTCTTCTGATGAAGGCAGTGGGAAGAGTAAGCATTCAAGCCCACATATTAGCAGAGACCACAAGGACAAGCACAAGGAGCACCCTTCCAACCGCCACCACACCAGCAGTCACAAGCACGCCCACTCACACGGTGGCAGCAGCAGTGGTGGCAGTAAGCACAGTGCTGACGGAATACCACCCACTGTTCTGAGGAGTCCTGTTGGCCTGAGCAGTGATGGCATTTCTTCTAGTTCCAGCTCGTCAAGGAAGAAGCTGCATGTGAATGATGCATCTCACAACCACCACTCCAAAATGAGCAAAAGTTCCAAAAGTTCAGGTAGTTCATCTAGTTCTTCCTCCTCTGTTAAGCAGTATATATCCTCTCACAACTCTGTTTTTAACCATCCCTTACCCCCTCCTCCCCCTGTCACATACCAGGTGGGCTACGGACATCTCAGCACCCTCGTGAAACTGGACAAGAAGCCAGTGGAGACCAACGGTCCTGATGCCAATCACGAGTACAGTACAAACAGCCAGCATATGGACTACAAAGACACATTCGACATGCTGGACTCGCTGTTAAGTGCCCAAGGAATGAACATGTAATCATTTGTTTAGGTCAATTTTTTTCCTTTACTTTTTTAATTTAAAAATTGTTAGAGTGGAAAACTTCCTCCTGATCTAGCAGTGGTTAACAGCTGCTGTTGCTGCCACTGCTTCAATATTTGTAAGTGCTGCTTTATTCTTCATTCTGAAAAGAAGAGATTATAGTAAACAGATCTTTATCTCCACATATGATAGTGTTATAAATACTGTAAAAGCATGGAAGGTGCAAAACTCAGTATTCTACAATTGCAGCTAAGAACATTAGGATGAATGGCTGGCTGCTTCTAGGAATATAAGATGCCTCAAGCATTTGTTATTTATAATTTGAATACTGTAGCTATTTTTTTGTTGTTGCTTGGCTTTTGAATGAGTGTAAATTGTTTTCTTTTTGTGTATTTATACTTGTATGTATGATTTGCATGTTTCAATGATAAAGGGATAAAACAGTATACTGACAACTGTTTACAAGAAAGTGGAGAAAAATGTACATACATTTTTGTATGTTTAGATATTACCATAAATACTCAGGATTGGAGCTGCTTGTAAGTATAACAATATACAGAATAACTTTATTTTATCTTGTGTTGGAGTCCATCACTAATCTAAAGCAAAGGTGGCACTTTTTCATGTTAACCTTAAACTTTAGGCCTTACTGGAAGCCACTGAAGGGGGACACTTCACTACCGGATGGGCGTGCAGTGCCACAGATGGTCGTTTACACTGAGGCACTGAACTTTTGCCTTCAGAGGTTCTGACCAGATTGGCTGCTGAAATAGCCCCTACTTTTCTGAAGGCTTGAAGAGGAGAAAATAAAGTTTACATACTCTTGATGTGAAGTGCATTTAAGTGTTTGTTGGCTTGTTGCAGTGCTATAAACACAGAGCTGTTAATAATGGTTATGTAGATTATTGTGATTTGGAAGCTAAATTCACGAAAACTTAACACAGTGAAGAATTAGTATGTTTTTTTCTTAAACAAGGAACTTTAACACTACATGTTGTAACAGTAAACAAGGATTGCTTTTCTTTAGCATTCAGAATGACACCATATTCTTAAACATACTCCTTCCCTGAAGTGTGTTTGTGTGTGATGCCATATTTCTTTTTCAGGTGAATGCAGTCTTCCTTATAAAAATGAAATTAAACCTATTGCTCTCTCAATTCTTTTATATTCTGAGAATAAATAAAAAAGAAAAGATCACTGTGCAGTGTACCTGTATTTATAACTTCTGGTTGTCATCAGGAAGCTGTCAGCCTCCAACTTAACCACTAGTGGAGGTTTTACATTTGTTTGTACATCTCAGTATATTCCTGTTGAGGTTTGCACAGTCATCTGACTTCTGAACAAACGACAGACTAACTTGTTCAGAGTTTCTGTTAAATGCCAGTAATATGGCTCTGGTTTATCAGCTAATCTTGAGTTTATTCTGTGGTAGATCTTCAAGCTGTTGAGTGTCTTTGAGCTCGGTTGAATTCAACTTCTACTGAACTGAAAACTATCTTAGTTTTTCCTCTATGTATATGAATTATTTTTGTTACAAAGCCACTGATAAGTGCACAGTTGTAATTTTACTTGTGTGTTGCAGTTGTAAATATTAAGAGTTTAATCCCGTGTTTTATTTAGCAGTTATCTAATTTACCAGTAGTTACATAATTTTTTTAAGATAATTGTTCATTCTTTCGTCAATGTTATTTCAATTTAGGAGAATAGGAGCCTATTTCTAGGGACTTTGCCTAGCTAGCACATCCTAACATTTGTTTTCTTGTCTCGCATAACTTTAGTAATCTTTGTCATTACATGTAACTTTTTTGCTTTGTATGGCATAATATTGTATCCATAAACATGATAATTCTGATAGTTATACTTTTACAGTGGTACATAATCCAAGGACTAGTGTAGAACTAAGCTGAGTTCTAGATGAGGGAGGGAAGGGTTTTGTTCTTGGTTAAAAATTTAGATGTGAAACCTCTAAGAATCTTATCATGTGAAATGACATAGGGTTGTTGTTCTACTGTATAATTGGGGATTATAATACCAGGAATTTTAATAAGACTTTGTAAAGCTATCTGAAAAGTAGTGAACTTATTTTCAGTATGACATAGAAAACAATGTGAATATTTAAGGTCTGTGACTATACTTAAACTTCACTAAGAATTTGCAGAATTGTTTTGCGATGTGGGAATAAAGGTAATTTTGTTGAATCTATATTGGTGCTAATGATGGACAGTTAAAAAAGGTAGCTAGTGTATATTGTTATGGGTCAGTACTTATTATTAGTACTTCCAAAATTGAATCTGAAATGCTATGTATTCACTTTTCACTCTGTAAATGTAATTCTTTACAATGACTTTATTTATTAAAGGGCAGCCAGTTGTAATTTTTATAGGATTGTGTGAGCTATTCAAACTCATTAATCTCTGAACAGGGTATTAAGCTTTCAAAACTACAATGGGGATAAGTATGGAAATCCTTTTAAGATTCATTACCATTACATGAAAACTCTTATAATTCATATTACCATGAATTTGATTTAACCGTCTCATTTGCATAAAATAGCTCATCAGCCTGGTCCCAATAGGCTCAACCAAAGAAAAGACGCCAGTGAATGGACGTTATTACTGAGTCTTCTTGTAAGTAGCCATGAATAAACCAAAATAGTATCATCAAATTTAAGTATGAAATTCCACATGTGCGAAGAAGTACTGTTAAGGTGATACATTTTGATGAGATTTTCAAAAATATTTGAAATATTAAAAAGCATTATCTTTAAACATCCTAAAAGAGAGTGATTCATTTTTAAGTTGCGTTTTCCCTAGATCACATATTTATGTTTATGCAGAAGCACATTGCAAAGAAAGGCTTTACTTCTACCTCTTTCACCTTGTTCTCCAACAGTGAGCTGTGCCTGTAATTGTTTGCCTTGTTGTTGTTAGGTACCATCGAGTCGGTTCTGACTCATAGCAACCCTGTGTACCACAGAACAAACACTGGTCCTGCGCCATCCTCACGGTCGTTTCTATGTTTGAGCCCATTGTTGGCCCCCACTTGTCAGTCCATCTTGTTGGGGGTCTTCCTCTTTGTTCGCTGACCCTCTACTTTCCAAGCATACTTTAAAATTTGAGGCTCTCTAGAACCAAATAAAAGGTGTTTGTTCACAGAAACATTCTCAGAAGCCTGCTTTTACAAAACGTGGTGGTGGTATCCTTCAGTGGTAAGACTTTGCAAACTTTCCTAATTCCTTTTTGTTGTTTAACGTGAGATCCATTTCTTGTTGCAGGTGTTTAAATACTGAAAAGTCATGTGATTATCCCTAGGTTTATCTTTGAAAGCAGTTACATGTTCATCTTGATCTTCCTGTATGTATGCAGATTCATTCTGGTTAAATTTTTTGTATTCAGAGTCATTTAAAGAAAATTTCTGCCATGATATATGGTTTCGTGTGGAATGTCATGAGGGACTTATTGTGTTACTTTGTCCCAACAGGTTGTAATTATGTAGGGCACCTGTACTTTTTTTGACCTTTCTATCCTCTGAACTAAAGAAATGACTAGTTGAGGTCTGCTTCAGAAAACTAAATTTAAAATGTTTTTCTTAGTTACCAAATGCCTTGCTTTAAAAGCATTTCAAGCACATTTTTTTTATATTTGAGAATTTAAATTGCTGATTTTTATTTCTTAACCAATCTTTGAAATAAACCACTGTTTATATATGCATGAACATTGTGTACTCTGTAAGTACCCTGCGTTGATTAGATATTTCAGGATTTTGTATTTAATATGGAAAGAGGTGAGATCTATAAAAGAAGACAGCTTTATTCTCAAGGTATCTCACCTTTTGGAAATATTGAAATGAAAAAATGTTTCTTGCCTACTACTGTGCTTAAATTGCTTGGTGATTTTTAATACCTTGTTGGAGAAAAAATTGAGAGCTCTTGTTATGAAGAATTGTTGATTTGGTATTTCTGGAAATCAGGAAAGCTGGCAGTCTCTCCCCGCAAAGACTTTTTTTGGAGGCAGTAGGATTCACTGTCTTACTGCTTTACCCTGCTAAAGGATCAGTAAATCCTACTCAGGAGAAACTTGATTAACTGAGCTCACAAGATGAAGTCTGCTAATCCCGTGTGCCCACTCGTTTATAGTAGGCTAATTTAGACAGGAATTTTTTGCATTGGAAAAACAGCACATTTCTGTCTTCTCCTGAGATGCCAGATTATACTAATGTGTTAATTTGAGAATTCAAAGCTACATTAATATCTGAAATCAATGAGCAATTTGATTGTTGGACACCCACCTGTGTGTAAGCCAAATGATCAGAAGTTTGCTTGCTTTGTGAGAAAACTTTGTCTGAAACATCCATCTTTACAGTAGTGATGATCTTGCCAGTGGAACTAGGATGTTCAAAGTGTTCTGGATCTGATACTATATGCATCCACCTCTTCTCCACAGTGTCGACTTGGGCCCAGCCAGTTTTTGCCTCTGTGACTTCCCATTTTCTGTTCTGTTATTTAGCAGTATCTATTCTGCCTGACAAGGAACCTTGGTGATGCAGTGGTTAAAGCACTCGACTGCTAACCAAAAGGTCAGTGGTTCAAGCCCACCAGCCATACCACAGGAGAAAGATGTGGCAATCTGCTTCTGTAAAGATTTACAGCCTTGGAAACGCTATTGGGTCACTATGAGTCGGAATCGACTTAATAGCAGTGATTTTGGTTTTTGGTTTTTCTGCCTGACTCTTTAGGTGAGTTGATAAGATAAATTGAAGGTTTATATGGCTAGAAGTAATTCTCTTCTCATAAAGGTGACTTAACCTGTTCATTTTGATTCATTAGTCTCAAAAGTAAATTCTGAAAGCTGTCTTATTTTATTTATTTCCAAGTTTTAGGAGGAATCCTCACTTAAAACCTCCTGAGTATTGGCACTTCAGTTGGTTTAATTTGCCTGTTTTCTTTGTTAAAATGAGTACATTCTTATTTTTTAAGGTACATTTGTTTTTCAAGTAGCTTCACTTGGTTTGAAAAACTTTACATGTACTCGTTTGTTGTTACCAGTGATTGTGATTTCATTTTCTGAATGTACCCAGAACCCCAAGGACAACTGAATGTTTGCTGAAAGAAAATCTAAAATTGGAATATGTGTATATTTCAGCTTCTCAGTATCCATACAAGGAATTAATAAAATTTGTTTATTGACAATGTAAATCCAAGGCTCTAACATATCAATGTCAATCAGAAATAACTGAGTCCATGGGAAATAAGGTCTCTAACATAATTGACGCTTTCAGTCCAAGTAACTTTAGATATTATCAGAAAGTATGGGCTCTGGGATCAGACTGCCTTCCAATCTCAGCCCTGCCACCAAATAGCTGAATGACCTTGGGTGAATCATTTGACTTCTTTTTGGCTTGGTGTCCTTACCTACAACATGTCAATAATGTACTTGTGAGGTTGTGTGGTTTCAGGCTTGGGTGGTAAGGGAAGGTGAAATAGAAAAGACGGCATTAAAGAGAATCTTAATTCAAGAGTAGAATTTGGATATTGGGGCAATGGTGAAGGCCAATCCAGGTGCTTCAAAACTTGTGTGTGTGTTAAACTTCATGCCTACTGTGTCCAGAATTATCCTTATATCATTCTTATGCTGATAAAACCAGTAAGGGTTGGTTCACTGCTTTACCAGCGTGTAATAAGTTAGATGGCGCTTATTTAAGAGCTTTACAAAGTCAGTAATTCCACTTAACCAAATACATCCAAGGCCATTGTTTCTTCCCTTTGTTTTTTCCAGTGCTGTTTTCAGTACAGTGAAAAAAATGGTGTACGTTTTTGTTTTAGCTCTAGTATATGATTTGCTTTTTCCCTCTTCCCCAACATCTCCCAGAAGAATGTAGGGCCTCACTAATGAGGGGTTTGATCAGATTGCCATGGAATTAAGACAAGAGGCTTAGAGTCTACAAATGTCCGGGTATATGCCCAAGATCAGTTTTCCTTAGTCTTTGAAGTCATAATCTGTAGGAACAACTGCTCTAGGGATGAATGCAGCCATGATTTTAACACAAGTTTAAGCAGCCACAGCAATAAAACGAAGTACTACATAACAGCTTTTCCCCAGGACTCTTTGCTATTTCAGCTTTACAGCGACATACAGAAACAATGCTCTCTCTTTTCCTTGTTAACTTTTAATTGCTGATTACCAGTGAAGACAGAGACTGCATTACACCTGGTACTTTTAAAGTTAGCAGAATCACCTGGAAAGCTTTCTTTAATGCAAGTTTCTGCATTTAAATGGCTGCTTTAAGTGAATACTTGTAACTGCAGCAAGTATGAGGAAGAAAGACGTACTGGTAGATGATGGAGTTTCTTGCTGCTCAGTGAGCAGATTAGTGGGCTGTTAACCTTGGACCTACTCATTACACTCTCGAAGGCTCAGGACTGCTGTAGTGTTCATGCAGGAGGGAATGGATAAAGCAGACATGGATGCTACCTAAACACGTACTCCAGAGCTCACTGTTTATGCTATGGCAACTCTAAAAGTCCCACATCTGGGATTAAAGCAGGTTGAAGTTAGGGAAATACTATAGAGTTGACTACTTTTAGAATTTGAGAGTTAAAATTCCTTTGGTTGACCTGGGACCCAGAGCATACAGGAAGATTCAATACACAATGAAATATTTTTAAATGTGATCTGAAACTTGGAGATGTTGCATTTGGTGAAAAAAGAGCTGCTCATGGAAGGAAAGGCAATATTGTTGATAAGTGAAAATGAAAAGTTTTTCACACCATTTAAATAATCAAAAGGACTAACTGAATTAATAAATTTGTTTATCAGCATCTCCGTGTAGCTTTTGGTTTTTTAAGAGTGAAACTTTAGAATGTGACTGATTATAAATTGATTCTGTAGGAGGAAGCAGGGAAAGGGCTTTTTGAAGTCAGACAAATCAAATCTGAGTGGCAGTCCCAACTCCCGTGTACCAGGAAGTTTTTTAGCTCTGAGCCCTATTCTGCATTGATAAAAATGAAGATAATACTACCAACCCAAACAGCCGCCAGAATTAAATGATAATATGCCGTTTTCTAGCAGGGCTTCAAACCAGTTCTTCCTGATTCAGTCAGACCTGAGTTTTTAGAAGTTGGGTAAACCAAAAGGGGACAAATTACAGGTATAAACTTAATCTCCCTTAGAAAACAAGGGCAGCCTAGGCACTGCATAGCAACCAGATCTCTTGCTGTAGGATTTTGCGCAGAGTCAAAAACAGTGTTACCCGGCTCAAAGATGGCAGCAGACCACACTGTTTGGCATGTGCATCACTCCCCACAGTCCTGGCAAGAATCCCATCTCATGCAAATCAGGCTCCTGAAAGGGCTCGCTACGCCTCTTAGTCTCCCAGGGGTTCGACCCATTCCGGTGAACACTGATCACCCAAATAGTAAAAATTCGGATCTGTTCCAGTTTTGCTTCATTGACCATGACTGAACCAATTTGAACTGGTTCAAAGCCCTGCTTTCTAGTGAGAACTCAACGAATACTAGCCCTAACAGCCCCTATCTTCCAGCCTCCTTTCAGACTCTCTTCCTCCAAAAGGTAGATAAAATGGGGGAACATATCTGAGCAATGATAACGAAGAGCGTAATTCCAAACAACTGGGTATCCAACACAATGAGTGGTGAAAAACAAAGCCTTTAAGGGTCAAGGCTTGCCTATTCAAAACTTCGAAGTTTTGAAGGTTCTATTTAATATTGTATTCAGTATATTTATTAATAGATGGGTCAATTTGTTAACACCAACTGTATG